TTTGAGGTGTTGTGGTTGAATTGACTTACAAGGTGACTGAAGTCTAAGAAAAAGTGCGCCACTCGTTATGCTGCGCCACTCGTTATGCAAGTACGTTACATGTTATTAATAGATTTGACAACTATAACGTGTTTTATCAACGAGTGCACCATTGGTAAAGGCTGCACAGACACGTAGTCGAAGTACTAACAGCTTATTCCCCGCTTTTTCCCGTCGATAGTGCTGCACTCAGATATATATGCAGCCCTTAGCAGTGGTGCACTCGCTGATATGGTGCATTCGCTGATAAAACACGTTAGTGCTACCTAGTACATATAATATAAGGACGAACTTTCTACGATAAGCCGTTCCTGGTTATCGATTCCAGGTACGACGTCATTATTAGCCGTAAGTGGTTTAGACGCTATAACGTCTCTATTAACTATAAACGCCGACGACTGTTATTCCGCATAAGTAGAACCCCACCCCCGTTGGAAGAAAGGGGCGAATAGTCCTTTAGACTAGTCGCCTGCGAGGCCTCTAGATCTGAAAGCGATGGGAAAGATCTGCCGATGAGAGAGACTAATGGATAAGGAAGACCGCGGCTGCCGAGTAGGCCGGGCCGCTGCGGAGAAACGAGTTGCTGAACTAGAGGCTATAGTACGATCCTAATTAGAGCCGAAGGCCGGATAGCCCCCTAGGAGGTTCCGATCTTATCTCGATCGGTTAAATTCGTAAAACCGTTAGTTATACCGTAGGATAAGGGCATCTGTAAGATACAGTGTGCCTTATAAGGATATCTGCCGCCCTCTATAGACTTTAACTCTAAAGCGAGGGCCGAGACCTAAATTCGCGCTAGATACGTCAGAATAGGGTACAGACGTCTAGAGTCTATATACCTTAAAGTGGGATACTATCAGGTAGTATAAGGCAAGACCTCCCTACGTTCTAGTAATCACTGCCACAGCTTTTCTAATGAGATTTACCACTATAAGAAGGGCGCTATACGGCGCTTATAAGAATTACCACTATCTACGAGATTAATTGGATTTTAGAGCTGAAGATAGCCCTGAAGCATAATAACAACTAGCTATATTGATATGCCCTAGATAGGTTCCGAGGTATTACTATAACTACCTTGATTATCGGTATCCAACATGCTTGCCCTATTACGGCTAAACTGTCACGGGTGGGCGCAACTGACCACTGCGTAACACCCTCAAGAGAGGGACTGTGGTTCGAACTGTCCAGTCGAACCAGGAGTTGCGCACATGAACCTCACACTGTCACTACCCGTGATATCACTGTAGATTATACGATTAAGTTACTCCCTAGGTTGAACCTAGACGACCTGGGATATACCGGCTCATCGAAACTCTCCGCTAAAGAATTGGAGGTCGCCCGGGAATATATTACTACTGTAACAACCAAAGAAGGGATTTATCGAGCCGAGCAATATAATATAGGTATTTTCAATCCTCTTCGCCTATAAGGCCTAATTCAAGTCACCAACTCTATATCGATTACCGTAAGCTGAACGCTATAACGAAGGACCAGGACCCTCTCCCTCTGATCGACGAGATATTAGCTTGAATTACCTAGGCAAAGATGTTCACCAAGATTAATATCCGGCAGGCTTCTACTAGATCTGAATCGACCCTAAATGCACGGACTTAACGACCTTTCGAACTTGGTATAGCGCGTATATGTTTAAAGTGATGCCCTTCGGTTTAGCCAACAGCACGGCGACTTTCTAGCAGTTTATTAACAATATACTAATGGGACACCTCAATCACTTTAATACCGCATATATTGATGATATCCTAATCTTCTCAGTTACAGAAGAGGTATATTAGGCCTATATCCGGCGTATGCTCAAATATCTCTTTAAGGCTGGCCTATCGGTCGACCTTAAGAAGTGCGAATCCCACGTTTTAGCAACCCGATACCTCGGATTCATTGTGGGAACGACAATATCCGACCAATCTTGGAGAAGCTAGATACGGTCCGCTACTGATAATGGCCAACGGTAGCTAAGGAAGTATAGTTATTTTTTAGGTTTTACAGCTTCCCCTTTATCCGCGAGTATAGGCGTATCACCCACCCCCTTACCAACCTAACTAGAAAGGATTCCCCCATTTGTTTGGATTAATGATTGCCAACGCGCGTTCGAGGAACTGAAGAAACGGCTCCTTGATAGGCCAGTCCTACCCTATTTTCAGTATAGTTAACCAATCTATGTCGAGACCGATGCTTCATAAGGCGTACTTGCGGGGGGTCTCTCCTAGAGGTAGGACGATGGCTAGCGGCACCCAATTGCCTACTTCTCTAAGACGATGTAAGGTGCCAAACTCAATTACTATATCCACGACAAGGAGCTCCCAGCCGTAGTCCGAGCGTTATGTCTTAGTAGGTCGAGTTGATTAGTCTCTAAAACGAAGAGCATTTCCTAGTTATCTCCAACTATAGCACCTACTGACCTTGGTTATTCAGGAGGTATACTTTTAAGCTAGCTACAGTATACTAGGCCGGAATAAGACTAAGGAGCTGGTTATTATATAGTATTGTAGCTAAGGAAGCGTAGCGACATCGAGGCCTTTATTGATACCATATGCCGCGCTAGTTATCGAAGGACCCTTGTAATAAAAACCTCAGGTTATTATAATATGTAGGAAGAGAGAAGGAGAGGGTATGGGATGTAGGAAGAGAGAAGAGAAAAAAGGCTCCGATCCTACC